AAGACAAGAAAAATTACCAGAAATGAAGAGAAATATTAATGAATATAACAGGCTAACTTCCTCTAGAAGAAATAATAACCCCCAAATCTGTATGTGCTAAAAAACAAAGCTTAAAAATACACAAAATAAAATTAGCAGAAATTTTGTTAACAATACACTTTTATTTTATACAGAAAGGTTTTAGAGCAACAAGCTAGAAAAAAAGAGCAAATTAATTCCCAACTAAATAGAAATGAGAACATAATAAAGACAAGAAATTAAATCAATAACAAAAAAATGCATAAAAATATAACAAAAGCATTCAAGACAAAAGTATATTATTTGAAAAGATTAACAAAACTGATAAATGGCTGGCAAAATTGACCCCCCTCAAAAAGCCAAAAATTATATTAGGAATAAGGTCATCACTACAGATCCTATAGACATTAATATTATAATAAGAAAATATTATTGACAAAGTTTACAAATTAGCAGAAAAGGACAAACTCCTTGAAATACACAAAGTAACAAAACTAACACAGAAGAACTTGGTAATCTTTTTTTTTTTTAAATTAATTTATTTACTTTCAGAGAAAGAGAGAGAGAGCACGCAGGGAGGAGCAGAGAGGGAGAGAAAGAGAGAGAATCCCAAGCAGACTCCATGCTGCCAACACAGAGCCCAATGTGGGGCTCAAACTCACAAACCGTGATATCATGACCTGAACTTAAATCAAGCTTTGGATGCTTAACCAACTGAGCCATGCAGGCGCCCCTAAGAACTTGGTAATCTTAAGATTCATATTTGTTGAAGAAATTAATAGAGTAATCAAAAATCTTTGTGTTAAAAAAAATGCCCAGATGGCTTCTTAGTAAATACTATCAAATTTAAGGAAGAAATAATACCAATCTTATAAAAACTCCGTGAGAAAATATAGGAGAAGGGACCACTTTCTTATTCATGTTATGAGGACAGCATAACCCTTATACCAAAACCTAACAAGGACATTTCAAAGGAAAGAAAAGTATATTCTTCACAGATATAAACACAAAAATCCTTATCCAAACATGACCAATTTGAATCCAATAATATAAAAATATTATAATACATTATGACCAATTAAAGAATGCAAATCCAGCTCAATATTTGAAAAGTAATCAGGGGTGCCTGGGGGGCGCAGTCGGTTAAGCGTCCGACTTCAGCCAGGTCACGATCTCGCGGTCCGTGAGTTCGAGCCCCGCATCAGGCTCTGGGCTGATGGCTCAGAGCCTGGAGCCTGTTTCCGATTCTGTGTCTCCCTCTCTCTCTGCCCCTCCCCCGTTCATGCTCTGTCTCTCTCTGTCCCAAAAATAAATAAACGTTGAAAAAAAAAATTTTTTTTTGAAAAGTAATCAATGTAACTCACTTCATTAATAGAATGAAGAAATCTCATATGATCAGCTAAATAGAAAAATTAAGTCAAAATCCAATATTCATGATAAAAATATCCAGCCAACTAGGAGTAGAAAGGAACTTCCTCAGTCTAATAAAAGGCACCCCACAAAAACTCTTCAGTGAATGTTCACACTTAATAGGGAAATATGGAATACTTTTCTTCCAAAATCAGGAACAAAATAAGAATGTCCACTCTCACCGTTGTTATTCACTATTTTACTGTAGGTTTTCGCCAGTCCAATAAGACAAGAAAAAGAATTTTTAAAAGGCATAAATGTTGGCAAGGAAGAAATAAAATTCTCTTCATGTACATGTGACATGATGATATATATAGAAAATCCTAAAGAGTCTATAATGAAACTACTAAATCTACTAAGTGAATTCAGTGAGAATATAAGAGGTTAATATAAAAAATTCAATTATATTTCTACATGACATTAAGAAACATTTGGTAATTAAATTTTATTTTTAAAAAAAAATTTTTTTTTTCAACGTTTATTTATTTTTGGGACAGAGAGAGACAGAGCATGAACGGGGGAGGGGCAGAGAGAGAGGGAGACACAGAATCGAAAACAGGTTCAGTGGAGCCATCAGCCCAGAGCTCATCAGCCAAGCCTCAACTCACGGACCTGAGATCGTGACAACTGGCTGCTAGCTCATCTTTAACCTGACCACCAGGCGCCCTGGTACTAAATTTTAAATTTTTTTTTTTTTTCAACATTTATTTATTTTTGGGACAGAGAGAGACAGAGCATGAATGGGGGAGGGCAGAGAGAGGGAGACACAGAATCGGAAACAGGCTCCAGGCTCCTGAGCCATCAGCCCAGAGCCTGACGGGGCTCCCGGGAACACGGACCGAAGATCATTGACCTGGCTGAAGTGGTGCTTAACCCATTTCTTGAGCCTACCCAGGTTTCAAAAGCAATTCTATTTGAATAAATTTAGTAAAAAATGTGAAAGACCTCTACACTGTAAATTATAAAACATTAAGAAAAATTAAATTCCTATATAAAGAGAGATAAACCATCTTCTTAGATTTGAAAGACCCAGTACTGCCCAAATTGCTTAATAGATTCCATGCAAGGGGCATATGTACCCCAATGTTTATAGCAGCACTTTCAATAATAGCCAAATTATGGAAAAAGCTTAAATGTCCATCAACTGACGAATGGATAGAGAAGATGTGGTTTATATATACAATGGGATACTACTTGGCGATGAGAAAGAATGGAATCTGTCCATTTGTAGCAACATAGATGGAACTGGAGGGTATTATGCTAAGTGAAATAAGTCAGTCAGAGAAAGACAGGTACCATATGTTTTCACTCATATGTGGATCCTGAGAAATTTAACAGAAGACCATGGGGGAGGGGGGCAAAAAAAAAAGTTACAGAGAGGGAGGGAGGCAAACCATAAGAGACTCTTAAATACTGAGAACAAACTGAGGATTGATGGGGAGTGGGAGAGAGGGGAAAGTGGGTGATGGGCATTGAGGAGGACACCTGTTGGGATGAGCACTGGGTCTTGTATGGAAACCAATTTGACAAATTATATTTAATAAAAAAAAATAGATTCCATGCAATCTCAAATAAATCCAATCAGGCTTTGTGTTCAAAAAAACAAAACAACAAAAACTAAAAACCTGGTAAGCAGATCCAAAATTGTATACAGAAATACAAAGTGCCCAGACAAGTCAAAACAGCCAAGAAAATTTTGAAAAAGAAGAGACTTAGATGACTCATACAACCTGATTTTTTTTTTGCAACAGTTTTGAGACACCAGTTTTTATCTCAGAATAGAGTAACCAGGACTCTCATGCATTGCTGAAATGAATATAAAATGGTACTACCTCTCTGAAAAATGGCAGTTTCTATAAATTTAGACATACACATATGCAATTACCCTGCAAGTAAATACCCTAAGAAAAATGAAAACCTTGGATGAGAATATTCACTGGTGTCTTATTCACAGTAGCTAAAAGATTAGACACAACCCAAATGTCCAGCCCTGGGAGAATGTATTAAAAAATTGTGGTTTATTTATTTAATGTTACTACTCAGCACTAAAAATTAATAAACTATCAACAACATTGAGGAACATTAAGACATTGTGTTGAATGAAATAAACTGGACACACGCAAAAAATATATACTGTATGTTTCCATTTACAGGAAGCTTAAGAACTGACAAAATTAAGCTCTGGGAGTGGAACTCAGAAAGGTGGTTGTCTCTCGAGGTGAGGGCCAACTGCAAAGAGGGAAATTTTTTTTTTAATTTTTTAATTAAAAAAAACGTTAATGTTTATTTATTTTTGAGAGAGAGACAGAGACAGAGACAGAAAGTGAGTGGGGGAGAGGCAGAGAGCGAGGGAGACACGTAATGCGAAGCAGGCTCCAGGCTGAGCTGTCAGCACAGAGCCTGACGTGGGACTCGAACCCACCAGCTGTGAGATCATGACCTGAGTGAAGCTGGATGCTTAACTGATTGAGCGAGCCACCCAGGTGCCCCAAAGAGGGAAATGTTTCATATTTGGTTTGAGCATTCATTACACAAGGGTATATGCTTGTCATTGAACTATACCCTAAAATCTGTGCATTTTACCATGTGCAAATTAAATCTCAAAAACCACTCAAAAATATTTTAAGTAAGATGTTGGGTGTGAGTGATTTACATTTATTTTCTTCTGGGTGGCTTGGATTGATCGATCTTAGTGGTACCTGAAGCTCAGTCTGTAGGATTTGCTGTTTGAGAACCGTGGAATGCCAGGCTTGAGTGCAGTAAGAGCAGAGGTGTGCCCGCTCATGCCCCTCCCAGCCAGGCAGCCCCACAAGCTAGCTGCACACCAGACTGGCAGGGCCCTCCCGATTACCCTCCTTTTGTAAAGCCTGGCACCAGCCTACCCATCGGTGCAGTAAATTTCAAACACACACGGATTCTAAATTACTCAGAAATTAATTCCCTAAGAAGCAGGATTGCATAGGGAGGAAAGAACACAGGATAAAGGTCCAAAGTGTGGAGTTATATTCCCAGCGCATCTGCTCCCAGACCCTGTGATCTTAGGCAAATCCCCAATTTTCTGACCTTCTGAAGGTGGTGATAACACACAACTGCCCAGGCAACATTCCAGGGCTTTGCGGAGGAATAGCTGAGAGGCATAGATGGAAGCCTGCTATAAAATGCAAAGCTCCATGTGAACTTCCAGGACCACCATTATTTTATTCAGTAGCCTGACTCCGACCCCCCTCCCCAATCCTACATGTGCACACAACCTTGACCTATTTTTGAAAAATTTAAATTAGAACCTTTATCAGAGGTAGAGAAATTTTAACAGCCAAGTCTGTTTCTTTTAGAAAAAATGGAGAAACGTTGGTTCAAGGTTTTTCAAATCCTCTGTGGATCCCATCCACCCAGATATACAGACAATCAAGATTCAGACATCACTTTTAACCTGAACATCAGATTTTAGCCACAGACTTTCCTGTCCCCACTTAGAAAATGAAGTCCCCACCTGCCTCTCCCCTCACTCCTTACTAATGCCAGGCAGGACCTCACACTCATTTTTACAGAGCAAACCCTGAGAGCCATCTCACCTGCTGGCGAAGGTCAAGGCCAAGGCTGTGGCCAGGTGAGGCATCAGCCGAAGGGTCTGTGTTTGGTGCTCAATGATCTTGACTTCTTTCTTGGCTTTAGGCCCAAACTGCCTCTGGATAGAGAGAATCAAGCAGGCACAAATTTTATCAAAATTCAATAGGCAACTTCATGTCCAGAGCTAAAAGTGCTAAGCAGCCATTTGCCTTTAAAACACTTCAGAATACAGAATGCCCGGGTCTCCTGAACTGTGGTTGAGATAATTAGATATCAAAAGTTTCTTAAGATAGTCCAACAGAAAAGCTTTTTGGCTCTTCTGGAAATTAATCTTCCCACCATGGACTATTTTTAAAGCAGACTATCTGTTTAATTAATACACAAAGTAATTTTTACTCCTTAACATTTACATGGCATTTTATAGTTCCGGGTGCCCCGCGATCATTAATTATTCAGCTTTGCTAAGTTTGTGACATAATTAATAGGACGGGAGCAATATCCTAGAATGTATTTCAAAAGGACATTCTCAACAAGGAGGCAACTCTAACCCCGCTGCTCCCGTCAGATTCACAGGCAGGTCATTACTTTCAGCCCACCTAAATCCCCCTGCAGTTCCACACAGAAAGGTGTTCACAACCCGCCGGAAGTACTGTGCTTTATGAACAGCTGCTGCTCTAAGGCGGTGGTGTCCCGGCGAATCGAGGCCTTCCTTAGAGCAGTTCGTTGGGGGGGGGGGGGGGGGGGGGGGTGGATTATCCCCACAGGCAACACCCAGGGTCTAATCCTACAGAATCCCTCCGCCGCAGACTGCAAAAAGCCTGGCCTGTCGGAAGTCACCTCCCTCCCCAGCCTTGTGATGGCTCTAGAGCTCTGGGTTCGGCAGCCTCCCCTCTGAACATCTCTGATCTTCACGCTGATTTTTGAAAGGACACCTCACGCACGTGCACATGCATACACACACACACACACACACACACACACACACACACAGGCGCACGTAATGCTATATTATCAAACCGGCAGAGCAAAACTCGTGCTTCAGACACCGGTGAGGTGAGGGTATCTATCAGTCACAAGGAGAGAAGGGAAACGGGAGTTTTTAAAAATTTTTACACTCGATAGACTTTCTTAAACATAATCTGATGCTTTCCTGTTGCCTTTGTTTGTTCTTAAAAGACCACCATGATCGTGTAGTGCATATGGTGGTCTAGAATTTATAACCTGTTCCTGTTGTGTGTGTGTGTGGGGGGGGGGTGGTAAGGGCGACCAGACGCTCGCACGGGGAGAACCGCTCTTAAGTACTGTGAGCACAGGCTTGTTTTCTAGGCGCACAGACCTCCCCGGGCACGGCCTAACCACCCCGCAGCTGCTTGTCCAAGGATCGCTACCCAACTCTGCCCTCCGTCCACACCGGCGGACCCCAACGCCTGCAGGCCCTGGTGCCAAACGAGGCCAGACGGCCTGCAGGGAAACGTCTCAGCTTTTGCTGGATCACTGCAAAACCAGCAAGGAAATCACAGATCCAATAATGGTGTCATCATAATGTCGGGGCATTTTAAATTCCATTTGTCCCCACTCTCTCAATTTCCATTTTTAAGTGCTATGATTATACTGTATCTTTTCTCTACGGTCACTGTGGCTAAAACGTTTGTCTGCTGAGGGTAGACACTGCCACACGACACTGGGGGCCATCTGCGTGCCTGCTCTGTGCAGGCATCCCCTAAGGTACTGGGCATCTACCAGGGTCAAGGAGGCCCGGCCCAGCTGCTGAGCCCCCAGCCCTGGACACGGAGAGAACAAGACCAAGCGACGTGGGCAGGACAGCCTTGTGCAGACCTCCACGACCCCAACCCTGTACCCCGCTCACCCTGCCCTGTCAATCACCCATCGTCCTTATGTGCTCCTAGAACATCTCTGCAGGGAACTTCTCCGCACAGCCAGGAAAAGAAGCCACTGATCGCAGCACCTTTTAGCTTTTGTTTTGCTATAAAATAATTTCAGTAGCAATACCACTTTGGACAGCATCCCATCAAAACCTCTGTTTTTGTGTGTGAAGCGTTTGTCTTGGCCTCCCACACAGCAAGAATGAATGAAAGAATGAATGGATTTTGCCAGTGAGGAAATGCAGACGAAGCACCACAGAGTGGCTGACTCAAGACCTCAGGGAAGGTCTTCGGATGACAGATCCGACCCCTGACCTGGTGTGCCTCAGTTTCCCAGGTTAGGCCATACCTTATAACCATCCCATTTCCTCTTTGACCCTCACGGTAAAATTAGGGTGACAGGTGTAGAGCAGAAAGAGGCCACCAGGAGCCCATGTGGCAGGCCTCGCCGTGCCTTTCTTTGTGCTCTGTGGGAGTAAAGAGTGTCACTAATGAGCTGCCACAGACTTGCCAGGCAATGTCACAAAACTCGGGACATTACACAAGACTCTGAATTTCCAGCTTTCCTTGAAAACTAGGAAGATCTGGCAATTCTGGACCCCGTTCCCGTGATCTGTTCCACTGGAGCTCAGAAGCTGCTGACTTCTCTGTCTGGGGCATGGCTGTTCCTCGTGGTCCCCAGGGTCCTTTCCGCTCACTGCAGGCCTGGGAGGCACTGAGTTTTCAACCCCTGCCGCGGGGGATTTCCTTTTTTTCATCCAGAATACATTTACATCAGCATCCTTACTTGTTAATTAAGTTCTGAGATTATGATATACGGCCAAGCGTAGGCATTCTCTGCGGCTATGAATTCATTAACAGAACTAGAGGGCAAAAGAGAACAGCTCTGGACAGCTCACACAGCACGGAATCCAAATGCTTCGGCTTGGCATTCAACAGACCACTTTGGCCTTGCTTGAGTGTCCCAACTGGTTTTCCTGCTAAGCCCCTTCAGACACTTCCCATCCTGGGCCTCTGTCCAGGCAGGGCTCTCCGCCAATCTCATTCGGCTGCCACACGTCATATTTCTGGTGGCTTAGCCGAATGCCCTCTCCTCCCACGGACCCGTTCTCCTATTTGTGACATGCCCCCTTCAAAACCCAAACCAGACCAGTCAAAGCAGGAAGCTACTTCTCCTCAGGATGCCCTGGGCACTTCCCCTGTTATTCCTGCCCCCCTGGGAACGCTTCTCCCTTTCAGGCTGGTGTGAGGGACACCTGTACTGACCACATGTCTTCTTGCACTGCCATCTGGGGCCCTGCTGACTGGCCCTTGGGCGGGCCAGTGCCTAAGGAGAACAAAGGACTACTCTGCTTGAGTAGTGTTTCCATCTTTCATATGCAAACTAACCAGTTCAAAGCCCACACCCCCAGCCACCTCCTTTACCAGACTTTTTTTACTCTGGGCCGCTATCCCCCCAGGCCAGGTACCAGACAACTAGGGACAGCCCCTATGCCCCAGAACCTTCTGAGATTATTCAAACTAGCCAAGCCTAAACGTGCTTAGCCTGCTTGCCCTGCCTCCCCCATTCCGTCTCACAGAAACCACAGTAAAGGTTCTTGTCCCTGCTTCCCCCTTGCTCCCTCTGCCTCTTAACCATCCCTGCTGCTTCCCCATATGGCCCGCGTGGCACAGCACCCCCCCCTCCCCTTGGGAACTGTGAGTTAACAGCTTTCTTTTCAATGGCGGTCACCCCCTGCTCTGTTGGCCTCACCGGACCCCAACAATAATAAAACCTAAGAGGCCAGCCTATTCCGTCTTGACATGCCCCAGGCTGGCCAAGTGTGCGTTCTTGGGAAAGAGAAGGAAGGTGAAATGTCCCACCATCCCCCAGCAGCTCCACACCCAACTCCTCGCCCACCTCCAGGTCTCCTTGGAATGTTCACGAGTTGCTACATGTCCCGACAAGAGGCCAACGGTCAGACACTGGAGTGCCAAATGGGAGCCAGGGGCAGTTAGGACAGGGATGGAAGAAGCAAATAAGATGAGGAATCCACTCCGCTTTTATGCCCAACAACCCACCCTACCGCTGCTTTGTTTTGTCTGTTTTTGATTTTTGTTTTTTGCTAGGGACCAGAAGGAAAGACATGAGCGGGAGAGAAAGCACAGCACCCGCCCTCTCTCCCTCCCTCTCTCTGGCCCAAGACAGTGACAGTCCCCAAAGCTTTGGGCTGAGGGTTCCTGCTGGCTTCTCACCCATCAGATATGTTCTTTGGCAGGACAAAAGTGATACTAAAGTCAAGTGACCCTTCTCCTGCCCAGAGACCCGGCCAGAGGTCACCCCTATGACTGCCACTATCAGCCTCCAAACTGGTAGCCTGGCTCCTTCAGAGGCAGCAGAGAGAAGGCGCCTCAAGTCTCTGTGCTCTGAGAGGGTGTGGTCAGTGCAGGAACCCTGCCATGCCGCTGTGTGGTCACCCTCCTATTTATGCTCTCAGACCTAGCAATGGCACTGCGGGTCATGATGGTCCAGGCCCGACTTCTGGTTGCCAGCATCCTGGCGGGCTGCCCTGAACACAGCTCACAGGACTGTAATCCCTGCAGCTGGCCAGCAATTACTGCCTGCCAGACGTTTTTACTGCTCCAGTATGATCTATATGGGCACAATCCTCTTCCTGTCCTTTTCCTCCGCTGGGTTACTATTTTTCCTTAAAAACACATGTAAAGGCTGTATTTTTCTCTGTAATCATAATTTTTATTTCAGTGCCAAGAAAACCTCAAAGTCACTGAGCTCAAACCTTTGGTGCTCTTTAAAAACGAAAAGTGATGCATGTGCGTGTGCACACGACAACATCCATGTGAAAATAAAGCCACGGCCCTGAGGATGCTGTGAATGGTGCCATTTAAAATTACAGATTTGAAAAGCTATTTCTGGATTGTAGCAACTCATCAGGAAGAGAGGAAATATCTATTCTGGGGTGTTTTATTTCATTCCCACTCCATTTTGAACACGGCTGCTTAAAGCAACATTCATGGAAAGTGACACGGCTATTAATCACCAGCTCAGCTACTGCGCGCGCAGCCTCTGGGGGTGGCTGAGCTGCCCGCCTTCCCATCTCCCTCTGGTCTCTTCTCCCAAAGGAGGCCAGTGACCTACTAAAAAGATAATTGCTTCACATGTTTCCTGCTCTGCAGCATCATTGCATCAGTATACTCTGAGTGACATCCAGTCAAATTGGAAGAAGGAGAGGAGCTT